GTGCCAGCTTCGCAGCCCCGCCGCCGAGGGTGCCGCGGGGGCGCGCTGGAGACGAGGCCCCTGCAGCCCGGGCGCGTCCCCCAAACCCAGCTTCGCTGCCACCGAAAATCCGGGCTCACGACCCGCACCCCCTTTCCACCGCCCTCAGAGGAGGCAATCTGTGGTTGAAAGCCCTCCGCCCACCCTAGCCACAGAGACTGTGCATGCGTTCAAAACGGGCTTCCTCGTGGAGATGCCTTTTCTCCTGAGTCTAGTACTGTGTTACGTTTTCCCTTGTGCAGTTGTTAATAGTATGCCCCAAACCACTGCGGCCTCAGCCAGGACTGTAAATCCCTGCGGAGGCCAACTGCCTCATCTTCCCCTGGAGGTGGGTTGGATTTGAACCTCCCACCTCTGGGTTAGCAGCCCAGTGCTTAACTAAAGTCCCACCAGGGTGCGTTAATAGTATGCACAGATAATTGCACAAAGAGAACATAGGTGTTGGGGAGGGAGGGGGAAGCTGAAAGCAGGGGCTCAGTAGAAAGTAAATGTAGAAAATAATGATGGCAACTTGTGTACAAATGCGCTTGACACAATCGATGTATGGCTTGCTACAAGAGCGGTAAGAGCCCCCGATAAAATGATCTTTTAATAAGAAAAAAAAGACACATTTAAACTATTTTTAAAAATAAGCAAACTAAATTTGAATGCTATGTTCTGGAGATAAATCACAAATTAAGCTTTTAAAAACAGGCACCCGTGCATTCTCACCAATACGAAACAAAGGTCTGTACCACGGAGCCCACCACCTGTAAATAAAGCTCACTGAGGTGGACGGTTCCCAGGAACCTGGTGGCGCAGTCAGCTGAGCACCTGCCCGCTAACAGAAAGGCTGTTAGAGAAAGATGTGGCAGTCTGCTGCCATAGGGACTGGCAACCTGGGAACCCCGTGGGGAAGTTCTCCTGTCTTGAGCTGTGGGGACCCGGTAGACAGTAGTAGGTACACTTGCATTTCCAAGGAAGGACAGAAAATAAGTGTGTAGGAGCAAGTGGGGGAAAGGTACCCAGCAAACACGTTACCCCTCATTGAAAGGAAAGGCTGCTTCGAGTCCATTTTGGCTCTCAGTGACCCTGTACCACAGAGCAGAACTGCCCGTCTGTTTCCAAGGCTGGCACCTTTGGCAATCACCGCCACCCTTGCGGTTTGGCAGGCAACAGCTGAACCACGGTACCACCAGGGCTTACACCCACTCATACAAACCCGTACCCAAGCCCACTGCTAGGGAGGCCATCTCTGAGATGAAATCTCTATGTAGACAGCCTCTTTTTTCTCCTGAGGAGGGGCTGGTGGAGTTGAACTATTGACCTTATGGTTTAGTAGGCTAATGCCGCCAAGGCTCAGGGGTGTGTGTGTGTGGTGGTGGTGGAGGATGGTTGTAAGAAATAAGTATAGTGATGTAGGGTCCTGGGGGGGCGGGGAGGGTGTAAAGTCCACAGTTTACAGAAGATTCCTGCCGTGTTCTGTAGGCCTGTGGGCTCTGACCATTGCATCATGTCCTGTCCTGTGTTTCCAGTGGCCTTTCTCCAGTCTTAACGGCCCTGGGAGACCACAGCCCTCCTCCTCCCCTGCCTCCTGTACCGAGCCAGCTGTGACGGGTGCTGGCAGGGCGGGAGTGGACTTTTCTGGGCTCCCGCTGCACAGCACAGATCAGTGCTGCCCCTAGAACTTTCTGTGGGGTTGCTCAGGCTCTCGTGTGCAGGTCCAAGGTGCTGTGAGCTTGTGCAGTGACGGCAGGGTGACAGAGGAACTAAAATGACAGTTCTACTAAAAACTGCAGGTCTTGCCTCATGCAAAGGAAAGGAAGACACAAAGAAGCCGCATTTGTTTGCTAGCAGAGAGCCAGGTCGGTTGGGAACTGGGTCACCGGGCTCCCCAAGCAGAAATCCAGGGCTGAGGTGCTGGAGGCTACATTGCAAGACACTGAGCTTGGAGCTGGTTGGCTTCTCTCTCCGTCCCCTTCTTTGTAACTGGTCACCCGTAGGTGTTGTCACGGCAGCTAGGCAGCCTGTGGTTGGCTGGGTACCTGGGGTGGCCGGCCATGGATACACCTGTACTTTGTGTCCTGAACAGCCTCTCCTGTCCCTGGTGTGTCCTAGATCCATGACTGGGGTGGGTCCCTTTGCCTCCAGTGCCTCATCTCTAAAATCCTCCTAAGGATTCTGTTTGTAAGTAGGTACACGATGCTGGAGGGCGGTTTCAGGTGTATGGGCGCTTAGGCAAGGAGCACAGGGGTCCTCACCCCTCTCCCCTCCACAGCTTCTCCCAGGACTCCTGCCTCCCAGCCGGAGGCCCACCTGTCTCAGCGAACACGGTCCTTACAAACGAGAGCCCAGGCTCTCCTTAGCTTCCAGCCTGTGGTCCAGGCGCTGGGTGTCGGCACGGCACTGCCCTCAGAGTGCCCCGCTCCGCCTGTGCATCCTCCCCGAGCAGCCACAGGCCCTGAGCCCAAGCTCCTCCGGTCACCCCTCTAGTGCCACCTGCTGTGCTGGCAGCCAGGCAGGAGGTTGCCTTTTCTGACAGGCTGCCTCTGTGCCCTGGTTGTGATGGTCATCGGGTCACTTCCCCCTTAGCAGCCCCCTGTGGGCAGAGCCACACTGGCCAGCTGCTGAGCCGTTGGGGCCACCCAGAGTCGCTACGCTCTATGACTCTTGGTTCTAGTAGCTGTATCGCAGTCCGTGCCACCGGCCCTCTGAAGGACATCTTGGTTGCTGCCAGGGTTGGCCCTTTGCAAACAAAGCTACTGGAGCCATCTGTGTGTCGGGTCACTCAGCCTTCAGGGGAGGGAGCAAGAGGTCCCCACAGCCCAGGCACCTAGAGAATGAGCCACGTTGCCATGGGCCCTACCTGTGGAGAAGCAGTCACGTGTGCTGACCACACACGTTGCCAGTCCCTCCCAGAAATGAGCTCACCCTGCTCGTCATATTATACAAGGAGCCCTGGTGCCGAGTGACCCGTACCTTGAGCTGCTAACTGTAAGGGCAATGGTTCAAACCCACCAGTCGCTCTGAGAGCGAAAGATGAGGCTATTTGCTCCCGTAAAGATGTACAAGCTTCTGAAACCCAAAGGGCAGTCCTGCACTGTCCTGCAGGCTCCCTGTGAGTCATAATCGACCCAAAGGCAGTGTGTTTGGTTTTTATCTTATTCATGTATACAAGGAGCCCTGGTGGTGCTGTTGGGTGAGCGTTGGACTGTTAACTACAAGGTTGGTGGTTCAAGTCCACCAGCTGCTCCACGGGAGAAATAGGAGGCTGTCTGCCCTTGTAAAGGTTTACAGCCTTGGAGACCCTGTGTGGGGTCGCTGAGTCCGAATGGACTCTGCAGTGTGTGGTTCATTTTACAGACGGGTGGAGCTGCAGGCTGCTGGCTGCACCCTGGGTGAGTAGCCCAGGGCCTATGAGCTCGGCCGCTGGGCCTGGTGGATGGCCCAGAGCTGCTGCAGGCAGCACTCCCTGACGCGGAGTGCAGAGTGCAAATGTTACTGAGAAACTGGAGATCAGATTCCCTTTCTAGTGCTTTGCTTCACCAGGTGTCTGATGCTGTGGGGATTTTCTGGTTTAAATCCATCCACACCACAAGCCTGCCCCGAGTGTCCCTCAGGCTGGGGCTCAGGCGAGCCCTCATCCTCCCAGTGTGTGTGTGTGTGTGTGTGGGGGGGGGGGTGTGGCCTCAGAAGTGTGGCTCTAGGTTCTCCGTGTTGGAAACCATTCTTCTCTGGGGACAGCGGATGTTTGGATCTGATGGTCACCTTGGCCTTCTTCCTTTTCCCTTTTGTCAGGTGGCTATGATACCTGCCAGACTTTTCTCAGCAAGATGGCCGACTGCGTGGGAGGGTATGGGGTGCTGGGCCCAGCCCCCCTGGGCCTTTCTCCAGCCAAGCCGCCATCTCCCTCCACAGCCCGCCCCCAAGCTCCTCTCAGTCAGCTGCGCCAACTGTGCCAAGCGCCAGGAGGCCCCCCAAAAGAAACTGCTTTCCGAAAAAAAACTGGTAAGGGTGCTAAACGTGCGGGCATCTGCCTGCAGTTCCCTTCAGGGTCCTCCTTTCGGGCTCTCCTCCATTCACCCTGGTGACGCTGCTGAAGAGACACGTCACCCACCACCACCGAGTCTGCCCCCACCCACAGGGCCCGGGAAGGCCAGGGGCCGACCGCCACATTTGGTCAACGCCTGCTGATGCCCTGCTGTTCAGAGCCGAGCACTTAACCATTGCACCACCAGGCCTCAGGGAGCACAAGCCGCCCCTGGAAAGGTGCCACGAATACACGTGCCGTGAGAATCGGGCACCTGCGCACTGCGGTGGGCACTCAGCGTTTCCCGAGCCACCCTGAACTCTCTGTTTCTGCGTGTTTTCATCCTCTGACATGAAAGCACAGAGCCCCGGGGGCAGAGTGCGATATGCGTGGACTGCTAACCACAAGGTCAGCAGTTCAAAACCACCAGCTGCTCCATGGGGAAAGACAGGGCTTTGTGCTCCTGCAAAGAGCTAGTCTCAGAAACGCATCGGGGCAGGTCTACCCTGTGCTGTAGGGTCGCTATGAGTCAGTATCGACTCGGTGGCAGTGAGTGAGTTTTGGTGATAGAAGCTCAGTGCCCATCCTAAACACACACACACACACACACACACACACACACACACCCCACCACCCCCCACCACCACCCCCTCTCTCTGTGTTTGCCTCTGGCCACCTCTGATTCCACCACATTGGCCTGTCCAGTGACTAGCTGGGCTGGCTTGAATTTCTGTCGTCGTAATTCACCGTTTTTCCATGTGGTGGTGCCAAATAGCCAGGTGATATTTTATTTTTTAAAGATCCACTTATGATCTGGTTGATGGGCTGCCCTGGGCGTTGGCAGGGGTCCCAGTGCACTGTTCCCTACACCCACTCAGGGAGGAAGGCAGCCAGCATCCTCCCAGAGACAGTGCCCTGGGGCCTCAGGGACCTATTCTGTTGTAGAATGCGTTAGTATTTATTAAATATCCACTTGTTAGTTGACGCTTAAAGTTGGGACCTGAGGGATTGGCCCTCAGGCAAAGGCTCTGTTGAAACCTTGGTTCTGAAACACGCCGTTGAGGCTCGGCCACAGAGCCCGATGCTTCCTGCGCTTGGGACGCCTGACGGCCGACTGCCCAGACAGGGCGCCTCCTCCCACTACAGAGAAAAAATGTCATTAAAAAGACCAGTGGTTTCACTCACATAGTTCTGTTTGGAGAAACCACAACACGTGGGAGAGGCTCTGTATTTATTTGAGGAGTAGAATTTGCAGCTGTCCCGGCTTTCTTGCTCTTGTAAACTCAGCTGAGGCAAACTTGTGGCGTGCACCCCATGCTGACCCCTCGGCAGCGTTGATGCCCACCAGCCACGGACCCTTCAGACTGCTCACAGCCGGGCCATGGCAGGCAGAGAGGTCCGTTCCAGATGGACGGGCCTGGGGAGGATTTTAAAACACGAGGCTAAGTCAAAAAGTACTGCTGCCGGGTTCCGGCTGCACAGGTTTATCCCAAGCAGTGTTTCATCAGCAGGTGTGTGCGTTCAGCGCACGGCTGCAGACACGCTTGTTCAGTGTCTTTCGGTGGGCTTCAACAAAGGTCCAGCCACCGCGGTCCCTGGAGGGATCTGCTTGGCCGGGTCATTTCAAAGCAGAGGGTCAGCTCAGACCGGGACAGAGACACTTGCATTTGGGGTAGGGTGCCCAAGCTCATCTTGATTGGTTTCTAAAGGACACAAGAAATTGTAAGAAAATCGGAGACAACACTGGTGAGAGAAAGGCTGGGAAAAACCACGGGTTTTTTCCCCATCTAGACCGTGCACCTGCTCATTCTTCGAGGGGAGGGAGAGCTAGCCTATGGGAATTTTGTTGGGAAACCTTACCACGTCCTCCCTGTAGCCCCGACCTTGCCCCCTTCGGACTCTTCCGCTCTCGAATCTCCAAGACAAGAGCGAGAGTCGGTCCCTGGCGGACGCCTGTCAGCGACGTGTAAGACTTGGGGCGCAGAATCCCCAGGCGCCACCCGCAGCGCGTGCACCTCGGGGCGGACACGGCCGGAACGGCAGCTTCACGTGCTGCCATTGTGTTCGAGATCGGCGTCTGCGATTCTCACCAGGGACTTTTGGTTTGCCCTCCAGTTTTCCGCTGTTGAGCGGAGTGGCCACACCTGGCTGCTAGCAGCAAGGCCTGCCGTTCCAGCCACCAACGGCTCCGTGGGCGAACCCCGTGCGCGTCACGGGCTGGGGACGCACAGGCAGCTCTGCCCGGTCCTGTGGGGTCGCGGAGTCGGAACCGGCCGAGGGTGGACGAGCACGGTCTGTCCCGGCTCGGCCGTTCCGCAGCACTGACCCCTTGTAGCAGGCGCCGCCGGCACCCGCTGTGTGAGGCGCTCCTGGCCACGCGCGTGAGCTTCCTGCTCACCTCCCCGCTGCTGATCCCGTCGAGACCGTTCTTCCGGGCGCCCATCCTAGACGGACACGGGCTCACCGGCGCGGCTGCCC